AAAAGCATGATGGATATATTTTAAAGCATAAGGTAGAACATTAGCAATATATGTTTAGAACATAAGGCATACATAGTTTAGAACATAAAGAATATTTGTTTAGAACATCAAAACATGATGGATATTTGTTTAGGAACACAAGGCATGATATTTAGAATATAAGAACATATGTTTAAAAAATTAATATGTAAAAGTAAAATATTAATTACATTATGAAAGAAATTTATATTTAAAACATCACCTGTTTGTTTTTGAATGTGGTATCAAAAGAAACCATATCACCAAAAAGTGCATAATTTTTTCGACAGATTGGATCAGCCCATAAAGCTCTACAAAGTCTATCTTCTTCATCAACATCATAGGAAAAAAAAAATGCACTCCAGAGCAATTTCTTATTTTGAAAATTATCCACAAACATTTGGGCATCTGATCCATCAATAAAAGCCTTCAAATCTCTATAAAAATTTTTGAAATCTTGTTTAGATGCACCAACATTATCATGTGATCCAGCTAATTCTTTCATCATAGTATAAGACCTCACAGGACCAACATTTACCTGTTAGAAAAAAAAAATATTACTAAGATTAAGAATTAACTTTAGAACATAGTAAATCAAAACAAAAAAAAACATTATTTAGTACATAAAAATAAATCACCTTTGAATTATCAATAATCAACTTTTTATGCATAATATGCATTTTTCTATTATCCTTCTGAAATTTTGCACAACTTGGAGTATATAAAGGATGATTATGTTCTTCTTTGAAATGAGTTACAACATACTTTCCAGCATCATATCTCATACATATGTGAGCATTGCATCCTACACGAGTGACTAAACGTTTCCTAGTAATACGAACTTTTCCTTCTTCATAAACTGTTTGTTGAGCAATAGGTTTTCTTATTGCCCTAAAACCTTCCTTATTGCAAACTCCATATTGAAAAGCAATTATATCTTTGCTATTCTTCTTCCTTTTAGTAGTAGATTTCCTAGAAGTAAACCCAGCGGCATTTGCATATGCTTTATAAAAACTAAGACCCTCTTCAGGATCTTTAAATATCATCCCCAAACTGGGTTTTAACTCCTCGGGAACACTTGGAATCCATTCCTTAGTGGTACCACCAGGGCTAAATGATCCAACAACCTCTAGATAAACTTTATAACATAGAACATATAAAATGATCAAAGATAAACTTTAGAACATCAAGGATAAACTTTAGAACATATAAAATCAGGGACATACTTATAACATAGTGAATTACTTTATAACATACATAATAAAATTTACAATAAAGTGAAAAAATTAAACTAGAAGGTTAACTTTAGAACATACAATGAAAGTAAACATTAGAACATAAAAAGTAAAATTTAAAATTAGAAGGTAAACTTTAGAACATAGAATGAAAGTTTTAGAATATAAAGAGAGAGATATATAGAAAACTTTAGAACATACAGAGAAAACTTCAGAACATTACAGATAAATGTTAGAACATAGTAAAGAAACTTTAGAACATGTAAGTAAATTGAAATTAAAACATTGAAAACAATAAAATTACCTGAATGAGTAACACAGGAAGAAGGATAATTAGGTTGCACACCATCTAAATCCATCAATATGCATAAACCTATTTTGAAAAACACAAATTGTAGCAAAAAAGCAACCAGAAATTAAAATCCATTAAAAATCAAAAATCTGGAAAACAAAATAGGATAAAATCGAAAACGATGTTGAAAAACTCAAGCAAAGGAAAAAAACAGAAAAATCTGGAAATAAAAAATCTGGAAATAAGCAAAGGAAATAAAATCTAGAAATAAAATTTGGAAAAATCTGGAAATTGAAGAAGAAAAAGAAAACTAGAAAACGAAATTGATGAAATTAATGAAAAAACTCAAACAATGCTCTACCCGTTGAGCTAGTAGGCTAATGTATATAAAACACTTGAACTAGAGGAAAAACTACTAACAACTATATGAGATAATCACAAAAGTAATTTTTTTTTGTTTAATCATATCCTTTTGCACTTCTAAACACTATCTTTAGCATCGTTTATTGTAATTTGATGATCGATTACTTGCATTAAGGTGGGTTCATTATATTGGCTATATAATCAATCTATCATTAGTAGTCCTTTAAAGCAAAAGTTATCCCAAGTTAAGACTAGTGCTAATTAAACAAGCTTTGACAAACATGCTAAGATTGTCTACTTTAGAACACAATGAATTACTTTAGAACATAAAGAGTAAACTTAATATATGCTAAATAAAAGTTTAGAACATGCTAAGATAGTTAAATAATAGTTTAGAATATAATGAATTACTTTAGAACACAAAGAGTAAACTTTATAACATAGATGGAAAATTTTAGAACATAGAAGGAAAACTTTAGAACATCTTGAATTATTTTAGAACATAATGAATTACTTTATGTTCTAAATTTCCTTATAACATAGTGAATTATGTTCTAAATTTGATTTGCTTAGAACGTAGTAAATTACTTTATGTTCTAAATTTGTTTAGAACATAGCTATGTTCTAAATTTGCTTTTGCTTAGAACATAGTGAACTATATAAAATCTAGAAATAATAAAATTAAAAAAAAAAAAGGAAAAGGAAAAAACCACCACCACCCTTTTCCTCTTCCCAGCCACCAAATTCGCCGCCGTCGCTACCCTAGCCGCCACCTAACCTTTCTCTACCCAGCCAACCCTAACCTCGCCGGTGAACAGATCCCCTGTGCCGGGGACCCACCCAGCCTCCCCACCCCCTTTTTCCTTTTTCCTATTTCCTTTTGAGAAAAAATTAACGCATCAAAATCGCAGCATACACAAATCGCAAAAAGCTGGAAAATTTTGAGAAAAAATCGCAGCAAATAAAACAGCATCGAAATCGCAAAAGAAAACCGAACAAAAAAAATCAAAATAAGAACAAACAATTCGAACAATCAAACAATCGAATTGATAAATAATCGAGCAAAATAAATATACATCGAATAGAAAATCGCCAAAAACAAAATCGAATAGAAAATTCGCAAAAAATCGCAAAAATATTGACGAAAACATGAATTAATCAGTAAAAATCGAACATAAATCGCAGCAAAAATTGAGAAATAAACGCATCAAAATCGCAGCATACAAATCGCAAAAATCAGGGAAATATTTGAGAAAAAATCGCATAAAAACGCAACAAAATCACATCAAATTGCAGCAAAAAATCGCATCAAAATCGCATAAAATTCGTAGCAAAATCGCAGCAAAATATTCGCTAAACAATATTGAGAACAATTACATAGAAAATGCTCAAAATAATCGCATGAAATTAATCGCATCAAAATTGCATGAAAAATCATTAAATTTAAAACAAATCTGATTATAAAATTAATAAACTTACAATAATTAATCCAAAATCTGTGAAAATATCGTGATGAATTTGATGAACTTTCGCCAATCTGTTGAACTGAGGAGAGGGAGAAAGCTGAGAATTTTAGAGAGAGAAAGCTGAGAGTTGAGAAACATAAAATAACTAGATGAAGGAAGAGGAAAAAGAATTTGAATAAACTCCTTCAAATTACAAAAATGTCATTACTAATCATTCATTTTGAGCGGTCAGATCAAGCTAATTCCACGGTCCAGATTAGTTCTTATATATAATGGGTTCTTATATAGAGGAGGGTTCTTATATGAGCCTTCCTCTATATATATATATATATATATATATATATATATATATATATATATATATATATATATATATATATATATATATATATATATATATATATATATATATATATATATAGGGGAGGGATTCGGTAAGAACCCCTCCTTATATAAGAACTCTAGTTATATAGGAATCAATCTCAGTCGTAAGATTAAGTTACTTTGGACGGTTAAGATTAAAACATATATCCTCCCATAAACCCCTAAACCACCGTCCAAAATTTTTCTCTCTCCTCAAACTTTCAAACCTCTTGTCTTTCTCTCTCCTCAAATCCCAAAATCGAACACAAATTGCTGCAAATTGAAGAATTTTTGTTCAAATTTCGCATAAACAACCTAAATTGCTCAAATCAGGTACGTTTTTTTTTCGATTTTGTTCAAATTTTCATGAAAAACGCATGATGTTCAAGTAGATTTTGCGATTTTTCGATTTGATTTTTGCGATTTTATTTTTTACGATTTTTGTGATTTGATTTTTGCGATTTGATTTATGCAATTTTCTGATTTGATTTTCATGAATTTCGCATGAGTTAAAGTCGATTTTTCATTTTATTGATTTGATTTTCATCTATTTTCGGCGATTTTCATTTGAATGTTCGCGATTTTTTTCGAAATTTCAGTGATTTTTTTTTTCGAATTTAGGTTTAGATTTTTTTCGAATTTAGGTTCGAAATTTCAGTGATTTTCATCTATTTTAGGTATTTTTTTTCTCCCTATTTTTGTTTGAATATTGCTAATTTTTTTGTTTTAGCGATTTTAGTGTTCGAATTTTAGCGATATTAGGTAATTTCAGCTCTACTCTTGATTATTATTGTTTGATTATTATTGTGAAGTGAAGCAAATTGAAGTCAATAGACGTAGTCAAGCTCATAGTGTTCCAACAGACATATAGGCTGTAGATAACTAGACGTTCATCTTTGACAATGATTATTCTGGCTTAAATGATGCTTTCCAGACAACTTTTCTACACCATTTACACTAAAATCACCATAGGTATATTTAATTTAACATGTCAGCAGGCCACTGCTAATTGAAAGCCACAAGATGAAATGAAACAGAATAATCAAGCTCCAAGTGTTTCATTGTCAAGAAATCTTGAGCAGGGTAGGAAGGAAAGCAAAAGATAGAACAGTACATATTTTTTTTGATGCTGGTAGTCAGGGTAGTAGTGCTGATGCTATCTTGTATGGTAAAGAAAGGGATGGGGACTGTTCTTACTCACTATATGGGTAGCTGAATCCCTGTTTTGTTGTTGTTTGGGTTTGGCTTGGCTACTGCTTGTGTTGGCTTAAGGGTGTTGCTGTGTTTGTGGCCTGCTTGGGGTTCAGTCGTTGTTATTTTTTGGCTTGGGCAGCTGTTCTGTTCTAGTGGAGGTTGGAGGATCAGCTCAACTTTGGGTTCATTTGATGAGGGCTGCAACTGCTAGCAGTCATTGTTGCAGTGCTGTTTTTTTTCCTATGTTCTAAATATTCTTTTACCTATGTTCTAAATTTTTTTTTTCCTATGTTCTAAATTTAGGTAACTAAATTAATGTTCTAATGTTTACCTATTGTGTTTTAAAGTTTGTTCTAAAGTTTTCCATTATGTTCTAAAGTCTTCCCTTATGTTCTAAAGATTTGTATTATGTTCTAAAGATTATCAGATATGTTTGAAAGCTTATTTTGTAGTCTAATGTTTGTCCATTATATTTAAATTTCATCTTAACCTTTTATATTTGCATTGTATGTAAGTTTTGATCAAAGCATACATGAGTATGAAGTTTTCCTTTTGTGGTTTTATTTGAATGTTTGAAATTGGTTAAGGTTTTAGTATTGAGGTTTGAATTGGTTAATTTTATTCTATTTTTTTTATCATGTTCCAAATTTAATATTATGATCTAAAATACACTTTTAAGATATGCAAGCTACTGACATAGCTTAGCATGTTCTAAACTCTTTTTAAGCATGTTCTAAACTCTTTTTCAACATATTCTAAATTATTCTTATGTTCAAAAATATATTACTAATGTTGGAATGTTACTAATGTTTTTTATCTCTTAAAATTGCAGCAAAATGCAAGGCCAAAATGAAAAAAATCAGAAGAAGGAGTTACTAATATACAAGAAGAAGAAATTACTTATGTAAGAAAAAGGTAACTAAACTAATGTTCTAAAGTTTACCTATTGTGTTTTAAAGTTTGTTCTAAAATTTTCCATTATGTTCTAAAGTTTTCTCTTATGTTCTAAAATTTGTATTATGTTCTAAAGATTATCATATATGTTTGAAAGCTTATTTTGTAGTCTAATGTTTGTCCATTATATTTAAATTTCATCTTAACCCTTTATATTTGCACTATATGTAAGTTTTCATCAAAAGCATACATGAGTATGAAGTTTTCATTTTGTGGTTTTATTTGGTTATGTTTGAGATTGGTTAAGGTTTTGGTGTTGGGGTTTGAATTGGTTAAATTTATTTATTTATTTAATTTTTTTTTATAATGTTTCAAATTTAATATTCTACTAACAACTCCTATGTTCTAAAATTTTCCCTCTATGTTCTAAAATTTGCCTTTATATTCTAAAGTTTTCCCTAATGTTCTAAAGTTTACCCTATATATTCGAAAGTTTATGCTATATGTTCAAAAGTTTATGCTAGATATTCTAATGTGTATCCATTATAGTTTATGTTCATCTTATCCCTTTATATTTGCACTCTATTTAATATTAGTTATATTCTAATTATTTATGATTGGTTATAAGGGAAAGTTGAAAACATTGAGGCGGAAGTAATCGACAAATCGGAATCTGAGAAGCATATTGCAAGTAAAAGTGTTGCTAAAAGACATAGCAAACTTCCAACAAGGCTTGAACCACCTCGAAAATTGCAAAAAAAAGGAAGAAGGAGAAAAAGATTAAGAA